TTTTTGTTGAATAACATTCACAGAAAGTTTTATTTTCAAAGAATTACAGATTTGCAGACAGTTGCAATATTTTTAATTAAGCCATAATACCTGAATTGTTTTACTTTAGAATCTTTGGGTAGTAGTTAAAGACTGAAAGTGGTTAAGGGTTAGGAGTCACTAATACATTAACACATGCCTTTATGCTGTACAAAGTGGGTAGAGTATCTTATTACTCAACTTTTTGGGAGTATTTGTAGAAAGTTCTTTTGGAAAACTTAAAGCAAAGGATACCAGTCAGCCTTTCACCTAAACACTTACTCAATAAAATCTTGGTGAGCATTCACATGAAACATAAATGTCTTCCCTTAGGAAAAGCTAAAGCCAAGGTGCTTGCTAAAATACCAGATCCCAGTTCCACTGTAGGAAAGTTTTATGATTTATGTTTTGGGCAGGGCTTAGGAATTTCCACTGCAAACACTCTGAGGAGTTGTGATGTATTTTTTCTCAGATTGTACTTGAGGAATTAGGGTTTTATTTTTATTTTTATTTTTTATTTTTTTTGAGATGGAGTCTTGCCCTGTCACCCAGGCTGGAGTGCTGGAGTGCAGTGGCATGATCTCGGCTCACTGCAACCTCAGCCTTCCCCCAAGTAGCTGGGATTACAGGCGTGCACCACCACGCCTGGCTGATTTTTGTATTTTTAGTAGAGATAGGGTTTCACCATGTTGGTCAGGCTGGGAGAAATTAGGGTTTTTAAGGGACCATAGTTTTGTTTCTGCTTTATATTCTTATCCATATATCCTTATATACATGTATGAAACAGATTCATTGCAGTTACAGATATTTACTTCTACTTTTACACTCTGATTTTATTTTAATCATAGTGTGACCCCTGAAATTGATTTCAAAATTAGTGTCTCCATCCTTAGTTTGGTAACACTGCCTTAGGTATTATCTGTGTAAGGGTGACAGCAGGATTACTGAGATGAAGCGATCCCCATTTCTTCTTAAAGTGATTTATCTTTTTGGTCCTTTGAGGATGTTTTATTATTATTTAGATACATTTTTCTGCTTTGCTAGGCATTCACTACCCACACACAATTACCAGTTTTATTTCCTCTTTTCCCCCTCTTTGTAGTTTTCACTACAGTTTTCACTCATCGTTATACAATTAGGTGCTTCTTCCCTATGTTATTAAAAGCGTTTAACACTTGGGTATTTTGTATGCTTATGTGGGAACAGCAAAGAAGAAAAACAATCCAGTTGCGAAATAGTAACATTCTTACTGAACTTCATAAAGATAAACATATCAGATTCCATTACTTGATATAAACAGCTATAAAGTAATTGGCTGGGCCATACTTGCATTGAGAGTATGAATTAAATATATGGGAAGGACCCTAAACTCTAGCAAAATTGGCTTGTTGCAGTGGCTCTCGCCTGTAATCCTAGCACTGTGGGAGGCTGAGGCTGGTGGATCACTTGAGGCCAGAAGTTCAAAACCAGCCCGGCCAACATGGTGAAACCCCATCTACTAAAAATATAAAAATTAGCCTGGCGTGATGGCATGCGCCTGTAATCCTAGCTACTCAAGTGGCTGAGACATGAGAATAGCTTGAACCCAGGAGGCGGAGGTTGCAGTGAGCTGAGGTTGCGCCACTGCACTCCAGCCTGGGCGACAGTGAGAGTCTGTCTCAAAAAAACAAAACAACCCCCCCCCCCACCAAAGAAACCTCTAGTAAATTATTAGGTGTTTTTTGTTTTTGTATTTATTTTATTTCTTTTTATTTTATTTGAGACGGAGTCTCTCTCTGTCTCCAGGCTGGAGTACAGTGGAGTGATCTCGGCTCACTGCGACCTCCGCCTCCCAGGTTCAAGCAATTCTCCCGAGTAGTTGGGACTACAGGTGCGTGCCACCACACCCAGCTCATTTTTGTATTTTTAGTAGAGACGGGTTTTCACCATGTTGGCCAGGCTGGTCTCGAACTCCTGACCTCAGGCCTCCCAAAGTGTTGGGATTACAGGCGTGAGTCACTGCCCCTGGCCTTTTTTTTTTTTTTTTTTTTTGAGACAAAGTCTTACTCAGTTGCTCAAGCTGGAGTGCGATAGCGCGAACATTGCTCACTGAAGCCTTGACCTCCCGGGCTCAAGCAATCCTCCCACCTCAGCCTCCCAAGTAGCTGGGATCACAGGTACACACCCCCATACCAGGCTAATTTTTCTATTTGTAGAGACATGGAGTCTTCCTGTGTTGCCCAGGCTGGTCTGAAACTCCTGGACTCAAGCAATTTGTCCACCTCACCCTCTCAAAGTGTTAGGATTATAGACGTGAGCCACTGCATCAGGCTTTAGGTTATTAGTTTGAAAATAAGATTAAATCACTTACATGAAGCAAATTAAATAAAGTAAATTTTAGCCAAGGAAAATGGCTGCCGTGTATTGACCTATTGATCTTTATCTGAATCCTTTAAGGTCGGAAATAGTGTTTTATTTTACACATGCAAAAATGAGTTTAGAGGATACAAACAGTTGATAAAGATAGCTGTGAAAATTCACCTCAAACATTAAGGTAAGTATGGTTTAGTTAGTTCTAATAAAAGGAAGGGAGCTGGGTATGGTGGCAGGTGCCTGTAGTTCCAGCTACTCGGGAGGCTGAGGTGAGAGGATTGCTTGAGTTCAAGAGGTTGATGCTGCAGTGATCCATGATTGCACCACTGCATTCCAGCCTGAGTGACAGAGTGAGACTCTGTCTTTATAAAAAAATTTTATAAATCAATAAGAGGAAGGGCACTTCTCTTCATTCAGCTATTGAAACATCATGTGAATGTGTGATGGAGGCAAAATGATGCCTTCTTATGAGTTAGAAAATGTTGTTAATGCAAGTAGTGGTATTACATCAAATAAGTCACATTGTTTATGTTGGTTCTACATTAAAACACAAGAAGCACCTCTTTTGTCCTGTCATCTTTTGAAAAAGTGGTTAATGAGCTCCTGTGTACTGTGTAAGAAAGCGTTAAATGCTTAAAGTTACTTTGAGTTAAGTAGTCAGGAAGCAAACACTTGGTTACCAGAAGTTAGAATGGAGAAAGCAGCTTTCTGTGCAGTCTGATACAATAGGAGGGTACCTTTCCTTTTTGGACTAGCCGAGACCTAATCTTTTCCTACCGTAGGTAAAAAAGTCTTTCCTTTTTATGTTTTGTAAGTATTTGCTGTAAGTTATTGGTTTGTGGTAGCCAAGCTAACAAAGACTTTGGGGAAAAAAGTATTCAGGTGCTAGAATAGTATCTGGTGTATGCTGGCTCTTTGTAAATCCTGCCCACGTTTAGGTTTGTCTGCAGCTGTTAGTACCTAATATCAGGAGTTCTTCCTAGCAAAGGTATTCTGAACCTTTTTGGGAGCATAAGGACATTTCCAGCTGGACACGGTGGCTCACATCTGTAATCCCAGCACTTTGGGAGGCTGAGGCGGGCAGACTGCTTGAGCTCAGTCATTCAAGACTGGCCTGGACAACATAGTGAAACCCTGTCTCTACAAAAAATACTAAAATTAGCCAGTCATGATGACGTGTGTCTGTGGTCCCAGCTACATGGGAGGCTGAGATGGGAGGATTGCTTGAGCCTAGGAGGTCGAGGCTGCAGTGAGCTGTGATGGTACCACTGCACTGCACCCTGGATGACCGAGTGAGATCCTGTCTTTTTTTTTTTTTTTTTTTTTAACATTTTGGAGAATCTGGACACTGAAGATTTGTAATGTAGAAAAACAGACATATTTAACATTGGCATCTAGTTTTGTAGGTTCCGCGTGACTGACTACCCAAAGCCAATCTTTGGGTTTAGGTCTAAGCTCTTTGCCTTACAGGACTGGCATTACAGTTGTATTGTATTAGATACTGTTGGAATCAAATAGTGCATACAGTCAACATGCTAACATATATGCTGAAATTATTTGGTAGCGTGATTTGATTTTATGTGAAGAAAACTTAGTATAGCAAGTTTATTTTAAGGTTTATTTTAAGGATCAGGTTCTTGGTATTCAGCCCAGGCACGTTAAAACACTGTTATTTCTAACTCTATCAAATAAGGTTATTAAAAACTGAGAATTTTAAAGATTTGTATTAGGTACTGTGGTGTGCAAACAGGGTCTGGACCCGTAACAGCTTTCAAATCAGTTTAATGGGTCTGACTAGCCTTAAAACAAATGAAGTAGACCAGAGTAGAAAAGAAATTATGTATCACAAAATACACAGTTAAGTACTTGGTGAAACTTTTGCTTAAGTTTGTGTATTTATGTATATATGGATGCATGTATACATTCATAAGTGTTTTTATTGGATTGCAGTGCAAATATATTTCTTAATATGAGATGATTTAAAAAGTTGGAAAGCCACAGCTCTGTAACTGTTTGCTTCGGAAGTAGTTTGAGTATCTGAGTTCTTGATATTTTTGTGTTTTGGGAGACAGAATAGGTAACTAGTTAGGATGCAAGAGTAGAAGAGCAACTTTCTTTGAATCTTCAGTGATTAATCAATAAAGTTGAGATGGGATTTTACTCATTAAATAGCTTTGGATAGTTAAGGCTGAATTTGCTTTGTGGAAGTTTTGAAAGCTGTTATAACCAGAGGAAGAAATATATGTGTGTTTCACAAAAGTTGTAGTTGCATTTACTGAAAATGTTGTATATGGTTCAGTGAATGAAATATATGTGATGCTTAACATAAAGCTGTCTGAGAAAACATTGTTTCTGATTCAATACTGGAAATACCTATTTTAAGTATAGTCAACTATTCTTGCATTGCTTAGGGCAGCTGTTTGTTTTTACCAAAAATGTAGGACCTAAAGAAATGAAGGTCTCTGGACTTTTGGGGGAAGAGATAGTAGATTTTTGTGTTCTTGTTTTTTAATAGGAAGTAGTTTTCGGGAAAGGTTATGTGAGTAAGCATCAGGTGTTGTTTACGTTTAAGAAATTGAATTATAGATGTTAACTTAATGTCTTCTTTTTTTCTTCCATTTCTTTCAAAGGTTTGGGCCCCATGGTATCCCTGTGACAGTATTTCCCAAAAGGGAATATAAGGATAAACCAGAAGCCATGCAGCTCCAAAGTAATACATTCCAAGAAGGGACAGAAGTCAAGTGTGAAGCAAATGGTGCTGTTCCTGATGACCCTTCTCTTGTCCCGCATCCCGAGCTGAGTTTGGCTGAAAGCCTGTGGACTTCCAAACCACCACCTCTCTTCCATGAAGGAGCACCGTATCCTCCCCCTTTGTTTATCAGGGACACATATAACCAATCAATACCTCAGCCACCTCCTCGGAAAATTAAGCGACCCAAACGAAAAATGTACAGGGAAGAACCCACTTCAATAATGAATGCTATTAAACTACGACCCAGGCAAGTTCTGTGTGATAAATGTAAAAACAGTGTTGTTGCTGAAAAAAAGGAAATTAGAAAAGGTAGTAGTGCAAGTGACTCTTCTAAATATGAAGACAAAAAACGGAGAAATGAAAGTGTAACTACTGTGAACAAAAAACTGAAAACTGACCATAAAGTGGATGGGAAAAACCAAAATGAAAGCCAGAAAAGAAATGCTGTGGTTAAGGTTTCAAATATTGCTCACAGCAGAGGCAGAGTCGTAAAAGTTTCTGCTCAGGCAAATACATCAAAAGCTCAGTTAAGTACTAAAAAAGTTCTCCAGAGTAAGAACATGGATCATGTGAAAGCTCGGGAAGTGTTAAAAATTGCCAAAGAAAAGGCACAAAAGAAGCAAAATGAAACCTCTACTTCCAAAAACGCACATTCAAAAGTCCATTTCACACGTCGATATCAGAATCCTAGCTCAGGTTCCCTTCCACCCCGGGTTCGTTTAAAACCACAGAGGTACAGGAATGAAGAAAATGACTCTTCTCTGAAGACAGGACTTGAGAAAATGCGGAGTGGCAAGATGGCACCCAAGCCCCAGTCTCGCTGCACCTCTACCCGCTCAGCAGGTGAGGCCCCTTCAGAAAATCAGAGTCCCTCAAAAGGCCCTGAAGAGGCCAGCAGTGAGGTTCAGGACACAAATGAAGTGCATGTGCCTGGTGAGCAGGATGAACCACAGACATTGGGCAAAAAGGGCAGCAAAAACAATATCTCTGTTTATATGACCCTAAATCAAAAGAAATCTGACTCCTCCAGTGCTTCAGTGTGTAGCATTGATAGCACAGATGATTTGAAATCTTCCAACTCTGAGTGTAGTTCTTCTGAAAGCTTTGATTTTCCTCCAGGCAGTATGCATGCACCTTCCACCTCCTCCACTTCCTCCTCTTCAAAGGAAGAGAAAAAGCTCAGTAATTCCTTGAAAATGAAAGTCTTTTCCAAAAACGTCTCTAAATGCGTCACACCAGATGGCAGGACCATATGTGTAGGGGACATTGTTTGGGCCAAGATATATGGCTTCCCTTGGTGGCCAGCCCGTATTCTTACTATAACTGTGAGCCGGAAAGATAACGGCCTTTTAGTCCGACAGGAGGCCCGTATTTCATGGTTTGGGTCTCCAACAACATCTTTCCTTGCTCTTTCACAACTCTCCCCCTTTTTAGAAAACTTCCAGTCACGCTTTAATAAGAAGAGAAAGGGCCTGTATCGCAAGGCTATCACAGAGGCAGCTAAGGCTGCCAAGCAGCTGACCCCCGAAGTACGGGCTTTGTTGACACAGTTTGAAACGTGAACATGGACAGTAAGGTAGGCAAGACCATTGGAAGTCACCACAGATTTTCTAGTCTAGTTAGGAATAATTTCTACGAAATAGCTTGGCCGGATTGGAGAGAGAAGTTGCACTCAGTTGGCTGGCTTTTTAATACTTACCTTATAGCCATTTTTAGACTGAGAAGCTTAAACTGAACATATAATCAAATTTTGTGTTAAGGAAATGAGATTTTAGCAGTATTTTTCAGTTTTGAAGTTCAAAACCATCCCAAGGCATAGGAGCCATAGCCTCAACTGAAATTGAATTTTTGTAGGGACTGTTAATTGCCATTTGTACCTAATACTGTATATATACACATATATATACATATATATATGAAATATAGCCTGTCACTGTGTGACACAGGTTGCATATTTGGGATTGCAGTAAGGGCTTGGTGAGCTGGGGGAATAGTGTGGCTATTTAATGACTACTTGTTTTTTAAATAATGAACACTTAGCCTTCTTATGCGCATAATGGTGTAAAGGTTAGGTGGTTAGGTGTTTGATAAACAGATGCTTGCTATTCAGTTACAGACTGGGGAAATAGCCCAGTGTTTGGGATTAAAACTGTCAAGACTGGATAGGTGTTAGTCATCACTGTCTTTCGTCTGGTGGGGATTTAATAAATACTTTCAAGCTTCTGGTTTGGGAGTTTAGATAGGTTTGATTTTGGATTTGTAAATAGTTGATTGCTAAATTTGGTCAGATTTCTCCTGACTGGCTGTTCCTAAATTCTTAGGATATGTCCCAGTAAAATTACACTTTGTGAATTAATTGTCATATGTGTAATTGTTGCATTTTGGATGTACCTAATTTGATAATTAAAACAAAATAATTTCCGTTTAAGGTATCTGTTTGCAGGTCAGAAAATGAGAAAATGTAATTGTGTAATGCTTTGAAATGTAAAAAAAAAAAAAAAACAAAAAAAAAACTAAATAAAATCAACTAAATCCAAATTATTTGTGTGTGTTTCTCAAAAAGCTTTGAAAAATTTGAAGATGGTAGAAAATTATTCTTTGTAAGAGTGTTTAGAAGAGATGAAAAAATCAAACTTTTATTTTGCTATTTGCCCTATCAGGGAGTATATTATCTGAGATAAGAAAACTTCAAATAATGAGAGATGAATCAGTATATTCTCAAAATAAGATTTTATAGTATAGAGGTTTGATAATGCTTTTAGATTTGATACCCCCTTCCTGCCAATTTCTCATAAATGTGTGAATTTTAATTTTTAGCCTTAATATTTCATCACATGCTTCCTTTTTTTACATTTGGGTAATTACAACCGGTCTCTTCTGTTTGGTTTTCTGCCTCATATATCACTGCTTTTGGGGCTAGTAACTTAGCTTACTATTTTTCTACATGGTCCATCTGTCCCTAAGATTTGATTTCTTATTTTCCATTTTTAGCTTTGTATTAGTAGTGAGAAATATATCTGATTTGCTGTGGAGGCAAGTTTATCTCAAGATTTTTAAAGTTGCTTTCATACGTTTTGTGTCTTAACAACTTTTGGATATCTAATTTCAATACTTTTAGAAATTTAAAAGTGTTAGCAGTTTTTGTGGATTTCTAAATCCAATTTGAAATAGTTATGGAACGCATAATGAAAAGATTAATGGAGGTTGAAAATCAATAGTCTTGTCAGCTTTCTTAAGGTTATGAACTGGTTACGAATTTCTGCAAAAGCAAGTGGAATTTCTTCTGGGGAACTCAATGCTTTTTGATTATTATGAACACACAATTTAAAAACATGTTTCACTTGAGTAGAACATATTCTTTCCTGCAAACAGAAACAACTATACTTAAAAAAAAAAATTCTTTGATTGAAATTCACAGTGTGGTTGAGAAGTTACAAGGAACTATCCTAAAAGATTTTCCAAGTATTTGTTTCAGATTAATGAACTTGTTAATTCAGGTGTTTTTAAAAGTTTGAAATCTAAAGTTCAGAAAGACTTAAAAATCACCAAAACATGTAATTCCAAGGCTGTGTGTAATGATCCGGGTGAGTTTTATCTTAACAGTGGTTTGAAGTGGACATTACTAATATGGTCAAGTGCTTGGTAAATGTGCTCTTGTGGCATAAACCAAATTTGATTTGTTTCAGAAGCCATGGGGAAAGAGAAGAAAGGAAAAAACATCATGATTGTTGAATATAAAATAACATTCAGTTTTGTAGAACACACCTTTGAGGAAAAGGTTGAGCATATCACAAATGATATTATGCCAAATGACCCCTTTGCTTTACACTGGCAGTCTGGCATATTTCATTTGTAGTTTCAGTAGGGAAGCAAGTTTTAAAGAATCTCTCTAATCTTAAATGTGTATTCTAAACTCTAATAGCTGAATATTAAAAACTTGTGTTCCAATGGAAATGTCTTAGATACATTTGTCCAGTATCTACTGCAGATGGAGTTATAGTTGAACTGGGCAGTTATAGCCACTTTATATTTCTCTTTGAAATGATAAAAGGCACTTCTTCTTGATATGGAGATAACAGAAGTGGGTATTTTTTTTCCCTTTTCAGTGGGAGTAAACTGGCTTAGACCAACTCTGCGGCTTAAGTAACGGTCGTGGCTAAAACAAAGGATTGGCAAGGGGAGAAACCAAGTGAAGGAAGAGTTGTGAAAGCTAAGAATGTCTTTATTTCTGGAAATTCTCAGAAATGTAAAGCATCAGAGTATTTTTCCCTTTTTACTTTCTAGAATTTATAGACCAGGAAGCTGACTAATCATTTGGAAGGAACATCCATTCAACTCTCATTTACAGATGTGGAACCAAAGACCACAAACAATTATCTGTGAGAGGCCAGGTGCGGTGGCTCATTCCCATATTCCTTGAAGTTTGGAAGGCCAAGGTGGGATGATTGCTTGAGGCCCGGAGTTGGAGACCAGTCTGGACAACACAGACCCCTGTCCCCCCTGCCATCTCTGCAGAAAAATAAAAACTTAGCCCGGCATGGTGGTGCACACCTATAGTCCCAGCTATTTGCCTGTATCCTAGCTACTTGGGAGGCTAAGATGGCTTGAGCTCAGGAGTTGGAGGCTGCAGTGAGCCATGATCACACCACTGCACTCTGGTCTAGGCAAGAGTGAGACCCTGTCTCTGAAAAAAAACCCTATATATCAGTGAGGTAGAGAAAGTGGGATTCACTAGTCTGAAGCCTTTTTGTATGACTTGGTGGTGTGTCCCCAGATGGTTTTGATGGGGAAGAAATCTGTAAATAGTAACTGTAGATTGGTACTAAGTTGAAAAAGCAGGAATTTTGATGTGATAACAGACTGGAGGCAAAGAACAGGGAACTGATACTAAAATCAACTAAATGAATATATCTTCATTAGTGAGCCGGAGTATCTAAATTGCAAAATATTAAATTGAGTTACACTCCTATTTAAGCAGGTTGTACTTTTCTAAAAATTGGTTATGTTGAAAAGGTCACAAGTCTGTAGAATAACTGAATTGGGAATTGGAAATACCTTAAGTCTGTAATTTGTATCTAAAATTAGGTTTTCCCTTTGAAGTTGGGAATTTTCTATGGTCTGTGCTGCATGCTTTCACTTTTATTAGTACTTACAGCTGAAGAGATGGGCAGACGTCTAGAAAAATTAATGTTTTGATTCAGGAATTTGTGCCTAGTGATGGCCTCCAATAAGGAATTTTCCAGAGAGAATGAAGACTCATTTTCTAAGTTGAGGCAAATGTAGTTTTTGTTTTGGTATTGTTCTTATATCACGGCTATTAAAACAATCTCTTAAAAAATGCCAGATATGGCCGGGCACGGTGGCTCATGCTTGTAATCCCAGCACTTTGGGAGGCTGAGGCAGGTGGATCACCTGAGGTCAGGAGTTCAAGACTAGCCTGGCCAACATGGCAAAACCCTGTCTCTACTAAACCCCGTCTCTACTAAAAACACAAAAATTAGCTGCGCATGGTGGCATATGCCTGTAATCCCAGCTACTTGGGAGGCTGAGTCAGGAGAATTGCTTGAACCCAGGAGGCGGAGGTTGCACTCCAGCCTGGGTGACAGAGTGAGACTCTGTCTCAAAAAACAAAACAAAAAACATGCTGGATGTAAGGGAATTCAGAAACAGGATGCCATGCCAATTTCCAGGAGAAAATAAAACGGCGAGGGTGCATTAGTTACCTCTACCTGGTTCTGATTTAGTTAATAGGCCCTTCATATTCCAGATATACAGTTTGTGTAGATTTACTGTATTCCTTCATTCAACAAATGAACAGGATTAAAAAATGAAAGCATTAGCTA